CCCTGGAGCTGCTGGAGCCTTCCCGCTTTCCACGGAGCCGGCGGGAATTGGCTTTTCCTGCTGCCCGCGGCTCGGGGGTCGGGGGTCGGGGGCTCGGGGGTCGGGATTCGGGGCCGCTGTGGAGCCGCTCCGGCCGCGCCGGGCCGGGCCGGGCAGGGCAGGGGGTCACCTCTCCCGGCTCTTCCTCCCCTCCAGGTTTTCCCTGGACTGTGGAACACGGCCCCGCCGTGGAGCCCGAGCTCTCCCAGCTCCTTTCCCGGTCTGGTTTTCCTTCCTGAGCTGCTCCTTCCAAACCTTTCCCCTTTCTCCTCCTCCTCCTCCACCCCGCGGCAGGACCCGGACCGGAGCCGCTGCCCGTCCCTCCTCCGGCCCCGAGCTTCCGAGGGACCCCCGGGGACCCTCGGCCCCCAAATCTTCGCCTCTCGTCTCCTGCGGGCGCTGGCACGGGTCCGTTTGTCCGTTTGTCCTCCCGAGCCGACCGTCTGTGCGGCGCTGCCCCCGCTCCCCACAGCTCCTTCCCTCCCGTGGAAACGGGGCTCGGTAAGGGCCGTGAATCCCGGGGGATCGTGAATCCCGGGGGATCGGGGCCCTTGAGGCACATCAGCGAATTAACCCGTGCGGGCCGGGAGGGAATCACCCGGCATTGTCAGCTGGGAGATGGAGCCGGGCCCGAGCCCGTCACCGCAATCACCCGGGACAGCCGCCCCGGGGTCCCCCTGCCCGCGGGGTCACCCCGACCCCGCCCGGGCCGCCCTGCACCCGCCGAGCAGGGAATGGAAATGAGCCGGGAGCGTCTCTGCAGCCTGGAAACCCAAACCCAAAGGGTGGCAGCTTTTAAAGGCGGTGACTTTGAGCTCAGCTCCTGCTCGCCCTGCATCATTTCCCTCCCGTACCGCAGTGCAGCCTCCTGCTGTGCCTTTGTGTCCCCTCCGTGTTCAGGTGTGTCAGGGCAGTGTCCCCGCGGGCACGGAGGCTCCAGCCCTGTCACCAGGGTGGCTCCAGCCCTGTCACCGCGGTGGCTCCAGCCCTGTCACCATGGTAGCTCCAGCCCCGTGGCCAGGGTGGCTCCGGTGCCGAGTCACGGTCGGAGCAGGGCTCAGCCTCCCCGCGGTGCTGAAACCCAAACCCAAAGGGTGGCAGCTTTTAAAGGCGGTGACTTTGAGCTCAGCTCCTGCTCGCCCTGCATCATTTCCCTCCCGTACCGCAGTGCAGCCTCCTGCTGTGCCTTTGTGTCCCCTCCGTGTTCAGGTGTGTCAGGGCAGTGTCCCCGCGGGCACGGAGGCTCCAGCCCTGTCACCAGGGTGGCTCCAGCCCTGTCACCGCGGTGGCTCCAGCCCTGTCACCATGGTAGCTCCAGCCCCGTGGCCAGGGTGGCTCCGGTGCCGAGTCACGGTCGGAGCAGGGCTCAGCCTCCCCGCGGTGCTGACAGCTCGTTAATTAATTCCGTTAATTCGGCCGTGAGCGGCTCCGCAGCCCCCCCGGCCCTCCCGGCTGCCGCAGCCGCACCCCGGAGCTCCCCCGGGAATTCCGGCCCGGGAGCCGCTCGGTGCTGGGCTGTGAGCGGGACCGGCGAGGTTAAACCTCCCTAAATACCCCAGGGTCCCCCATCCCGGGGGCTGCGGCAGCTCCGGTCTCTCCTGACCCCCCCGCAGCAAACCCAGGCTCTCCAAAATCCGGGAAAACCCCCGAGCAACCAAGCAAGCCCTTGTTCCTCGTGTCGCGCTCGTTAAATGCTGCAGAAATCCCCTCCCGGCCGGCCGGGGCTGCCGCGGCAGCTGGCGGCATTGTGTGCCAGTACAGACGGCTCGGAACGAGCGCATTCATCCCGGGGCTGTCACAGCCGCGGGGACCGAGCGAGCGCCCGGGGCCGCGCCCGGCCCGGCCCGGCCCGGCCCGGCCCGGCTCCGCGGGGCCCTGGCGGGGCAAAGGCCGAATTTGGGCTGCAGGAGGCAGCTCCAGCCCGGCAAACCCCGAGGGCCGGCTGGCAGCGCTCACCCCGCTCCTGTCCCTCGCCCCAAAGACTTTACAGCCAACATCTTCTTTTTAATTCCGACACCCGCAAAATAGCAGCTGAAATAACCCTGCTGTATGTCAGCTGCTGATGGAAGGAGATTAAATATTAAAGCCAGTGCTGTGGCTTTAACTCATTCCATTTTTTTCCCTACTCTTCCCCCCCTCCTCCCCCCCTCTGCTTCCCCTCTCTGTGTAAAATGACATGATTTAGAACCCAAGTGCCAGACTCAGCCTCTGGGTTTCGGCGTTTGGAAATGTGTGCAGAAAGATATATTGTGTCTGTGAGCATTTCTGCGCGGGGAAGGAGAGAGCTCCCGAGCTGTGAGCCCACATAAAGATGTTAAATAGAGCTGTAACGCGCGCCCGACGCACGGAAAGTGCCGGGAAAAAAAAAAAAAATTAGGGAAAAAAAAAATCCGGCAATGAAGGAAAATGAAAGATTAAAATAAACCTGGCGTTGGAGAGGCCGGGCTGGGGCTGGTGGGAGAGACACGACCCTGCTCTGCGCCTCCCGCTCTTCCCTCCCTGACCTAAAAATCACATTTGTTTAGCACAAAATGGAGCGGCAGAATTGGGAATTTTCTTCTTTTCCATTTTCCCCCACCCCCGTCTCAGGTGCTCAGATTTCCGACGCCGCCCGCCTGCTAAATATTCATCCCGGCCCCGCACAAAAAGCGCGTTTATTTCCCTCGGTTCACCCCATCCCGGCAGGGTCCCACCGCGGGCAGCCGAATTCCGTAAAACCCGGGAATTTTGGGGCCAAAACCATGGAAAAACGTGGCTGTCCCTTGCCCTGCAGGGCCCCTCGCCCGCGCGTTCCGGGGCGCTGCGGAAAGCCGAATTCCCGAATTCCTGAATTCCCGAATTGCCTCGCTCGCTGCTCCTTTGTTCTGAGCGTTCCGGGGTCGCCGGGATCCGCGGAAGCCCCTCGGACAAAAAGGGTTCAGGGAGGCTGGAGCAGAGCGGCGGGGAGGAAAAAAAGCCCCGATCAGGCAGATTTTGGCCGAGCTGTCGAGAAGTTTTATTTCGGGTTTATTTAGGGTTTGGTTACGGAGCGGGGCTGGGGGAGACGGGGTTGAGCCGGTTCCTGGAGTTCCACGGGCAAAAACCTCTTGGCTCTTCTGCCACCAGCTCCGATTTCTCTAAATTTGAGCCCAAATCACGAGCCACCAGCACAGCCCCTTGTGAGCTCCGGAGGACGCTCTGTGTGACCCCCCTGTCCTTGAGCCAGGGAGCAGGCGCTGGATGGGCCCCAGGTCTTGGTGTGCCCTGCCACCGAGGGGGGATTGTCCCCTGCCACTGTGGGATTGTTCCCTGCCATCGTGGGATTGTCCCCTGCCACTGAGGGGGGATTGTCCCCTGCCACTGAGGGATTGTCCCCTGCCACCGAGGGATTGTCCCCTGCCACCGAGGGGGGATTGTCCCCTGCCACTGAGGGGGGATTGTCCCCTGCCACTGAGGGGGGATTGTCCCCTGCCACTGAGGGGGGATTGTCCCCTGCCACTGAGGGGGGATTGTCCCCTGCCACTGAGGGGGGATTGTCCCCTGCCACTGAGGGGGGATTGTCCCCTGCCACTGAGGGGGGATTGTCCCCTGCCACTGAGGGGGGATTGTCCCCTGCCACTGAGGGGGGATTGTCCCCTGCCACTGAGGGGGGATTGTCCCCTGCCACTGAGGGGGGATTGTCCCCTGCCACTGAGGGGGGATTGCCCCCTGCCACTGTGGGATTGTTCCCTGCCATCGTGGGATTGTCCCCTGCCACCAAGGGGGGAATTGTCCCCTGCCACCGAGGGATTGTCCCCTGCCACCGAGGGATTGTCCCCTGCCATCGTGGGATTGTCCCCTGCCACCGAGGGATTGTCCCCTGCCACTGTGGGATTGTCCCCTGCCTCTGTGGGATTGTCCCCTGCCACCGAGGGATTGTCCCCTGCCATCGTAGGATTGTCCCCTGCCACCGAGGGATTGTCCCCCCGTGCTCAGCTGGGAAATGCAGATTTATTTGCTGCAACAGCCGAGCCATAAACAAAGGCGAGGACAGGCCCCGGTGGGTGCCACGCTGCAGCAGCCCCACAGGAACAGTGGCTCTGGGTGGCTTTGGGCTGCCGTGCCCGGGAGAGGGAGGGCAGGAAGGGGAAAGGGCAGGAATGCACCGCTGCTGCTGCTCTGCTGCTGCTGCGCTGCTGCTGCAGCGTTTTCCTGCCCAGAGCGCTGCAGCCCGGCCCGTTTGTCGCAGTCTATTAGGAGAGACGCAATCCATCCTGAGCTTTATGGGGCTGTGCTTTAACCCCGTCCCTGCCTCGCTCCCCCTCTCCTCAGCCCTCCCTCCTGCCTTTGTCTGCCTTTCCCGGCCCCAGAGGCAGCCCCAAAGCCCCCCAGTGGCGTTTTCACCCTGCCCACGCCCTCCCTGAGGGATGGGGTCGATCCTGCGGCTCTCCCCGCAGGTGGGATTGTGGTGGGTGGGAGATGCTCTCCCTCCCTCGCTCCATAAAAGCCCAGGAGCTGAATCTGCTGAAAGGGGCTGGCTATGCCTTACCCCAGGCAGGAAAAGTTGCCCCAATTGAACCAAATTCCCCTCTTCCTCAGCCAGCAATAGAGTGGGAATTTTGGGATTCAGAATTTCCGTGTGTTTCCATCAGCTGCAGCCGCCGCCTCGCTCCATCACCTAAAAATCAGATTATTAAAAACCCTTGCAGAACCCCTGACAGAGGCTTTTCCCTCTGTCCCCCGTGATCCCACAGCCCTGTCCCTGTCCCATATCCTTGTCCCCTTGTCCCACAGCCCTGTCCCCTTGTCCCACATCCCTGTCCCTGTCCCACATCCCTGTCCCTTCTCCCACATCCCTGTCCCTTCTCCCAGCCTGTTCCCACGCCCGGATCCCCCCCAGCCATCGGCTCCAGCCTCCTCCTCCCCCCCCACGCCCGGCGCAGGACGGGCCCGTAAAACACAGCACGCATTTATTCCCCATTTTGTAAATTGTTTCGTTTCAGAGGTTCACAAACGAGGACCACCTGGCGGTTCATAAACACAAGCACGAGATGACATTGAAATTCGGCCCCGCTCGCACCGACTCCGTCATCATCGCAGGTATGAGCCCGGCCCGCGCCCGGCAAGATTGATGCCAGGGACCAGATGCACTGCAAAACCCATAAAACCTCCTGTGATCTGCATTTAATCAGGGGGAAAGGAAAGCCAGAGGCTTCCAAGTTTTTTCTTTTTTTATGGTAGTATCAGGTTTTGTGGGGTTTCGGGGGTTTTTTTTTTTAAATTTTTTTTTTAAGCTCTCGCCCTTTTTTATTAAAGGCTGGAGGATTTATGGCCAGAAGGGCTTTCACGTCTCTGCGTGTGCTTTGAGGACGATGAACCAAACCTGACAGAGCAGCTTCCCCTCTCAGCCCAGGTGTCAATTTTCCCGAGCTTTTAGGAAGCTGCAGTTAATAAATTAGAGCCCCGTGAGCTCTGCAGAGCCCCAGCGAGGAGCTCCCCCAGCACCGGGGCAGCGCAGCCTCTGCAGAGTGGGGGGAACCCAAACCCCCCAGATCTCAGAGCAGAGATCCCCCCAGAGTCCCTCCTGTCCCTCCTGTGTCCCTGCTGGGTGGCCAGGCTGTTCCTGAGAGCCAGGACAGGGGACACCCTTCCTGCCCTCCTGGAGGGATTTTAGGGAAAACAAAGCTGCTGCAGGAGCCTGGCACCTCCTTCCCCGTTCATCTCCAGCCCCAGTCGGGGCTGAGGCAGGGACTGGGAATTCAGCTGGGCTCTGAGGGCTTTGGGGTGAATTGTGGCTGTGGGTGGAAGCTGCTCCCAGGGACAGAATTCATTCCCAGCGGGAATTTCAGAATTTCTCTCCCTGGCAAGGATGAAGCGCTTCAGGAACACAGGGAGCAAGGTCACCCCTGACACTCAGGGGGCTGCTGTGGGGTAAAACACAAAAAAACCCCAAACAAACCAAAATTATCCATGGCCAGTCCAGGACCAGCTAAACCCCCCCAGACCGTGACACAGACAGGGGGTGTGAGGGCTGCAAAACCCTGCTGGCTTGGAGCAGTGAGATCTGGGCCTGTTATTGCCAGAAATTCCATTTATCCCAGGTTTTTCTGAGCCACCATTTTGTCTCTGGGATTTTTGGGACCATTTTGTCTCTGAGATTTTTTGGGACCATTTTGTCTCTGGGATTTGTTGGGACCATTTTGTCTCTGGGACTTTTTGGGACCATTTTGTCTCTGGGATTTGTTGGGACCATTTTGTCTCTGGGACTTTTTGGACCATTTTGTCTCTGGGATTTGTTGCTCCCTCCCTGCCTCCCGAGGCTGTGTGACAGGAGCAGGACCTGGCCCAGGTGGATCACAAAGATCCCTTCTCCTGGGAGGGAGAGGGATTTTTGTGGGAACAGGAGCTGCTCAGACGGGGCAGGACAGCAGCACGGAGGTTCCGGGCTGTTTTTTACACCCTGGAAACGCGTGCAGCAGCTCGGGAGGGCAGTGCTGAGCAGGAGCGATCCCAGAGAGCCCCGGGAGCTGTTAAACCCAGCACAAACAGCCTCCTGCGGAGAGATTGGGATGATGGAGTTGGGGATTTTATGGGCTGGGATCTGGGGGCAGCAGAGGGTGCCCAGAGGGGGTTTTGCTGCAGTGGCAAAGCCAGCACAGGGAGGGTTTGGGGCCGGGCTGAATCATCCCGGGGATGCTCTTTGTGCTGGAAAATCCCGGTGTTCTCCTCTGGGATGGACCCTGGGGGTGATTCCCCACGGAGCTGGAGGCTGGCTGCAGCAGGGAGGTTCCTGGGGCTGTCATGGGCTGGGTGATGGCCAGAGAGACCAGGACCTGCTAGTGGGGTGGGGAAGGGTCCCACAGGGAGGGCTGGGGACAGCGGGGCTGGGAGCCAGCCCAGGAATCACCCTGGGGTCCAGAGCTGGCACAGGGAGGGGAGAATTCCCAGGGAATCACCCTGGGGTCCATAGCTGGCACAGGGAGAGAGAATTCCCAGGGAATCACCCTGGGGTTCAGAGCTGGCACAGGGAGAGGAGAATTCCCAGGGAATCGCTCTGGGGTCCAGAGCTGGCACAGGGAGAGGAGAATTCCCAGGGAATCGCTCTGGGGTCCAGAGCTGGCACAGGGAGAGGAGAATTCCCAGGAAATTGCTGTGGGACTGGGAGTTGGCACAAGGAGAGGAGAATTCCCAGACAATTGCTCCGGGATTCAGAGCTGGCACAGGGAGGGGAGAGGCTCTGCCCAGCCCTGGGGTTGCTCTCCCCTCTCATCCCTCCCTGTGTTGACGATTTCAGGGAGATCCCACTCCCGATTTTCCCTCCTTGTCCAGCTGAGGACGGGGCAGACCCCAGGGGTGGGAGGGACGGGAATCCCACAGCCAGGAATTCACAGAACTCCTCTCCCTCCATTGATTTTTCCTTTAAACACCGGAGAAACAAAACCAGCACGAAATGGTTGTCCCGTTCCCAAGTGTCACTGGCTGTCCCCAGGGTGACACCCACACTCCCCGCGGCTCCCCAGTGAAGGACTGGGCTGCTAAAATGGGGATTTTTTGCTCTCCCTGACCAATTCTCGGTGTTCCAACCCGAAGCAGATCAGACCCCGACCCCGACGCGGTTCCTGAAGAACTGTGAGGAGGTGGGACTCTTCAACGAGCTGGCCAGCTCCTTCGAGCACGAGTTCAAGAAAGCTGCTGAGGATGATGAGAAAAAGGCAAGAGGCTGTGGCTGCACTGGGAGGACTGGGAGGGACTGGGGACCGCTCCTGTGGGAGGCACAGGCCCCGGGGCAGGATTTGCTGCCGTGCGGGGTCTTGTTTTTGTAACTCGGGTGACTTTGGCTGCTTTTCCCACTGATCCTGGCCTGCAGAGAGCAGATTTCGTGGTTTATTATTCCTTCAGCTTTGCACGTCGAGAAAAGGGGAGAAAATAGAGAGGGGGAGTACCCAAAATACCTGACAGCTCGGGAAGGAGCTGCAGGACCTGGGAGCATCCGGGGCGGGAGCAGAGCCCCCTCGGGAGCCTCCTCGGGGCCGGATCCGGTAGGATCGTGCCTTGGAGGGGCAGGCACGAGGGAGGGGGGCAGCGGAGCGTCCATCCCGGCGCGTCTGGAGCCGGCAGCTCGGTGGAAAAGAGCAGCTTCTGCTAACAAAGAGCTCCTCGCTCCGCCAGCGCCATCGATCCAGGCTGCCCCCGCAGCCCGGCGAGCGCCAGGGGCTGAAGGACAACGGGATCTCATCAGAAAGCAGCTAATTAAGGACATTTCCAGCCCCCGCCCCTCCCCGCTCGCCGGGCGGGAGCAGCAGCAGATGCGTGCCGGGCGCTCAGCCTGGCACATACATTTACTAAATTGATCTATGTCCGTGCATACGCTCGCAGTCAGCGGCGCTGCTCGGAAATAAACTGCGGGAGCCGAGCCGCGTAAATCTTCCCGAGATGGGGAACGGAGGAATTCAGAATTAAAACTGAAACCTGCCTTCCCAGCCGCTCCCCCCCCTCGCCAATAACAGGCTCTTTAAACCGAAATTGATCTCTCTCATTGGTATGCGGCTGCGGCAAAGGCTCCTGCCCTTTGTTCTGGAGCGGGGAAGGGAGGCAGGAACAGCCGGGGATGGGAGCAGGAATGGCCGGGAATGGGGAACAGGAATAGCCGGGAATGGGGAACAGGAATGGCCGGGGATGGGGAACAGGAATAGCTGGGGATGGGAGCAGGAGCAGTCAGGGATGGGGAGCAGGAACAGTCAGGGATGGGGAGCAGGAACAGTCAGGGATGGGGAGCAGGAACAGTCAGGGATGGGGAGCAGGAACAGTCAGGGATGGGGAGCAGGAACAGTCAGGGATGGGGAGCAGGAACAGTCAGGGATGGGGAGCAGGAACAGTCAGGGATGGGGAGCAGGAGCAGCCGGGGATGGGAGCAGGAGCAGTCGGGGATGGGGAGCAGGAATGGCCGGGAGTGGGGAACAGGAATAGCTGGGGATGGGGAGCAGGAACAGTCAGGGATGGGGAACAGGAGCAGCCGGGGATGGGAGCAGGAGCAGCCGGGGATGGGAGCAGGAACAGTCGGGAATGGGGAGCAGGAATGGCCGGGAATGGGAGCAGGAGCAGCCGGGGATGTTCACCCATGGAACCACCGAGCAGCCCCGGGGAGGGAGCCCAGGCAGCCCCGCGGCCCCGGGCCGTGCTGCCGGGACTGGCTTTAGCACGGCTCGGCCTAAACAGTGCTAAGAAATGAGATTGTGAAGTATTCCTGGCGAAGGGAGCTCGGGTTTTAGGGCAGGGATTGTCCCCGCTCAGACCCGCTGTCCGGGCGAGGTCAGCCGGTCACTCCCTGGCCGGGCTGAGCTCCCAGCATCCAGTTTAGCGTTTGTCCTCCCTCTTGCGAGGGTGGTCTCGCTCCAGCGCCGTTAATTAAAACCACGGGCGCAGCGGGAGCTTCCCCGGAGGCGCTTTAAGCGTTCGGAGCGCTGCTGCATGTTAATCCCGCTCCTTTGTGATCCCGCAGCAGCGGCTGAGCTCTAAAAGGGCAGGTAAATGGTTATTGCTGCACCTACCGCGGGCAAAGCCGCCCGGGAGAGCTGCCGAGGGGGCTGGAGCTGTGTGCTTTCTGAAATACCCCAGACCGAGGGGCTGGAGCTGTAACATACCCCAGACCGAGGGGATGGAGCTGTAACAAACCCCAGACCGAGGGGATGGAGCTGTAACAAACCCCAGACCGAGGGGATGGAGCTGTAACATACCCCAGACCGAGGGGCTGGAGCTGTAAAATACCCCAGACCGAGGGGATGGATGGATGGATGGATGGATGGATGGATGGATGGATGGATGGATGGACGGATGGATGGATGGATGGATGGATGGATGGATGGATGGATGGATGGATGGATGGATGGATGGATGGATGGATGGATGGATGGATGGATGGATGGATGGATGGATGGATGGATGGATGGATGGATGGATGGATGGAAGGACGGACAGGTGATTTGCAAGGTCTGCAGCAGCATCCTTGCCCTGCCACGCCCTCCCTGCAGCTCTGGGGTGGGGACAGCCCTCAGTTCAGCTGTCCCCTGGCCCCGCTGTCCCCCTGCCCTTCCCTGTGCCCTGCACGTCACTAACTGGTGCCACTGGGCCGCGTGGCTCTGCTGGATCCCAGGGTGGTGGCAAGTGGCCAAGTCCAGGCATATGGTTGGGTTTTATTTTAATGGGGCGCTCATAGATATTTAATAACTTGCATGGCTCTTTGTTTGCTTTTGATAATCGGGTAATAAAATAATTCAGGCTGATTTATACAATGTTTTACAGCTCTTCTGTGAATGAAAGTGCCTCCTGTAACTCGCAGGCATTTGGCTTGGGTACCTGTTCTCCTTAGCAGGGCCCTTTTTATACCAAAAATCCTAATAACAGCCCGTGGAGAAGTCATGTGTGTTACTGAGATCCCACAAACTGCTGCCATCTGGGGCTGCCTGTTGTTCCTGGGCCTCCAGCTCCGTTTGGCCAGGGCTGGAGCAGCCCCACGCTCTGCCTCGGGCTCCCAGATGCTGCTTCAGTGCAAGTAAATAATAATAATTTGGCAAGAGCTGGGAGCCCGAGCCTCTAACTCGGGGAGCAGCGAACGTTTCGCAGGCGGTGCGAGATGGGGATCCCTTCTCAGCTGTCTGTCCTTCTAGAGCTGTCTGTCCTTCTACAGCTGTCTGTCCCTCCCAGAGCTGTCTGTCCCTTCTAGAGCTGTCTGTCCCTCCCAAGCTGTCTGTCCCTCACAGAGCTGTCTGTCCCTCCAGAGCTGTCTGTCCCTCCCGAGCTGTCTGTCCCTCCATAGCTGTCTGTCCCTCCCGAGCTGTCTGTCCCTCCCGGAGCTGTCCCTCCCAGAGCTGTCCCTCCCGAGCTGACTGTCCCTTCCCCCTGCAGAGCTCGGGGGCCCTGGACATGTCGCTGCCCTCCACCCCGGAGATCAAGGTCAAGGAGGAGGAGCCGGTGGAGGTGGACTCGTCCCCGCCGGACAGCCCCGCGTCCCGGCCCCGCTCGCCCCCGCACAAGGACAAGGTGGGGCTGTGCCAGGGCTGCTGGGGTCCCTCTGCCCCCTGGGACCCAGCTGGGCTCCTCAGCGCCTGAGCTGGGCTTTTCTGAGCCTGATTTGGGCTGAAGGGACAGGCAGAGGGGCTGGAGATTCACCCCTTTCTAAAGCATCCTGAATGGAGGGGCTAGAGTCTCTAAGCACCCTGAATGGAGGGGCTGGAGCCTCTAAAGCACCCTGAATGGAGGGGCTGGAGTCTCTAAGCACCCTGAATGGAGGGGCTGGAGTCTCTAAGCACCCTGAATGGAGGGGCTGGAGTCTCTAAAGCACCCTGAATGGAGGGGCTGGAGTCTCTAAGCACCCTGAATGGAGGGGCTGGAGTCTCTAAAGCACCCTGAATGGAGGGGCTGGAGCTTCAGCTCTCTCTCAAACACCCCGAGCCGAGGGGCTGGAGCCATCCCCCCTCCCCGTGTGCCGTGGGTGATGTGCTCCCCTCCGTTTCTGTGGTGGACGTGCCTGAGTTTCTGGAGGCTGCAGGAGGAAGAGCCGTGGCAGTGGTGCGGAGCTGGCAGTCAGCAGCCCCTGTTCTGTGTTCTGCCCTGCAGGAGGGCCCCTCCAAGCCCGTGATCCTCTCCACGCCCACGCCCACCATCGTGCGGCCGGGCTCGCTGCCGCTGCACCTGGGCTACGACCCCCTGCACCCCACGCTGCCGTCCCCCACCTCCGTCATCACCCAGGCCCCCCCCTCCAACAGACAGCTGGGGTGAGTACGGGCAGGGAGCGCTCCCGGGGCAGGAATTCCATGCCAGGAATTCCCTGGAGGAGCTGCCACAGCGGGGCTGTCACGGCTGTCACGCTCCGTCTGCAGCAGCACGGCGGGCTGGAGTGCAGGGAGCAGGAACTGATTGTCCTGGAGTTAGGGAATGAGGCAGAACTCGGTGAAACGAAGCAAAACTCACCGTGGGGAGAGATGAAAGTGCTCCCTGAGCTCGGCACGGCGCTGGCTGGGGGGGAATGTGTCTGGAGCTGGGCTGGCTTGGGATTGTCTCAGGGATTGTGTCTGGGATTGTGTCTGGGATTGTGTCTGGAGCTGGGATGGCTCAGGGATTGTCTCGGGAGCTGAGATGGCTCAGGGATGGTCTCAGGGATGGTCTCAGGCCATGTTTGGTGCCTCTGGAGTGTGGCCTCCAAGCTGCTGGCCCTGCCTCGGGGGTGTTTGCCCTGGCACGGCTCAGGACCTGCTCCTGGTTGCCCGTGGAGGTTCTGGGGCTGCGGCCCAGAGCGTGGCAGGCCGTGCACGGCAGGGAAGGAGGCTGCCTTCAGCCGAGCCCTCGGGAGGTGCAGGGGTGGCCCTGTGGCCCTGCCATGCCCGGGCAGTGGTGCAGAGCTGTTGTTTTCCAGGTCTCCCAGCGGCTCGCTCCCGCTCGTCGTGCAGCTCGCCAACGGCCAGACCATGCCCGTGCTGCCCGGTCCCCCCGTGCAGATGCCTTCTGTCATTTCGGTGAGAGAAGCTTCCAGAGCTGCCTGCCCTGCCCTGCCCACACTCTCCATGTCTCCATCCTCCCCTCCGGGCCAGGGGCGCTGCAGGAGGGGCAGGGGGAGCAGGGGCAGCAGTAACAGAGCGCCGCACCAGAGGGCAGTCAGTCCCTTTGGAAAAATCCAAACCCGTGCCCTGACAGATGGCTGGCACTGCCAGGCCAGGGCTGGGAGCCACAGGATCCCCAGGAGCTGATTCCATTTGGAACAGCCTGCTCCAAGGGCAGCTGGGCTTGCAGAGAGCACGGCCGGCCATGCTGGACACTGCGGCCACTGCGGCCACTTGGCCAGGGAATGGCACCTGAAGGGAAGGGAAGGGAAGGGAAGGGAAGGGAAGGGAAGGGAAGGGAAGGGAAGGGAAGGGAAGGGGCTGCCCCTTCCCTGTGCTCCGTGCTGGGGAGCACAGCCCACGTGCACCCACGGCCGTGGGTGACAGCAGCAGTCCGGTGGCAGGAGTTTGTCAGGACTGGCAGACCTGCTGTGTCAGGGAGCTCCTGCAGAGCTGCTCCCCGTGCCAGCGCTGCTGTCCTGCTCCCCTCGCAGCTGGCCCGGCCCGTGGCCATGGTGCCCAACATCCCCGGCATTCCCGGGCCCCCCATCAACAGCAGCGGGTCCCTCTCGCCCTCAGGACTCCCGGTGCACTCCGAAGCCAAAATGGTGAGTGGCAGGGAGGGGTCACGGGGTCCCTCAGCCTCCAGCAGCTCCTGCCTGGGGGCTTTTCCCCTTCCCAAAGATCCAGGGAGGGATTTATTACCAGGGTCCCTCTCCACCCCTAGATCTCGCTGCGGGCACTCAGTGACTTGGGCTCTGCAGCCTGCTCAGTCCCTGGGGCTGCCAGCTGGCCAGGGAATTGCTGCCAGTGCCAGGAGCAGGTCTGGGCTGGGCACTGCCCGCTGGGCTGGGCTGGGCACTGCCCGCTGGGCTGGACACTGCCCACTGGGCTGGACTGGACACTGCCCGCTGAACTGGACACTGTGGTGCCCGTTGCCAGCGGGGTGGCTGCAGGGTGGCAGGGGCTGCTGGGGGCACTGGCAGCTCCTCTGATGTCCCTTTTGCTTCCCTGGCAGAGGCTGAAGGCCAGCCTGGCAGCGTCGTCCTCGCTGAACGGCAGCAGCCTGGTGGTGGGCTCGGCCAGCACCATGGTGACCGCGCGGCCGGAGCAGAGCCAGGTCCTGGGCCAGCACCCCGACGCCCCCTCCCCAGCCCAGCCACAGGTCTGTGCTGCTGCTGCTGCTGCTCCCCTGGGGCTGGGGCTCCCAGGGCTTGGCAAGGAGCAGAAAACCTCCCAGCATCCTCCCTGCACTGCAGAATGGGTTAAAACCTGTTCTTTCAGTGCTGCTCCAGCACTGGGGCACTCCCAGCCCACCAGGCAGGAGCTCCAGCCCCTCGTTCTGCCTGACGAGCCCTGGAGCTGGGAAGGAACATCTCCCCTCTCATCTCCCCGCCCAGTTTGGGGGTTAAACACTTCCCTCTCAGGCAATCAGCTGGGCTGGCTCCTGCAGCCAGCCAAATGCCAGCCTTCCATCAGCGTGGCCACCTGCTCCGGGCTCGGATGGGCTCGCAGAGTTTAATCTCCGTATGCTGCAGTGGGGCCGGGCTGGCCCTCGGTCTGCGGGGCCGGGGCTGCCCCGCTGCCAGCCCTGGCTGCTCTGCCTTTGTTCTCCCGAGTAAACCGGGCCTCTCCAAAACCTCCCGTTCCCCATTGCCTCCAAGGGCTTGTTCGGCTGGACGTTTCGAGGGGAAAATTCATTTTTAAAGCAAATTACCTGCTTAAAACCCGGGATTATCTGCTGCCCCGAGCGGCGACCGTGCGGCGGCACCGAGCTCCGCTCTGCTCCGCGGTGCCAGCGCCGCATCCTGCCTGTCCCCAGAGCTGCTGCTGAGCCTGCCCCCTGTCCCCTGTCCCCGGCCAGGTGTCCCCTGCCCAGCCCACGCCCAGCACGGGCGGGCGGCGGCGGCGGGCGGCGGACGAGGACCCGGACGAGCGGCGGCAGCGCTTCCTGGAGCGGAACCGCGCGGCCGCCTCGCGCTGCCGGCAGAAGCGCAAGCTCTGGGTGTCCTCCCTGGAGAAGAAAGCCGAGGAGCTCACCAGCCAGAACATCCAGCTGAGCGTGAGTATGTAACGGGGCTGAGCACAGCCCTGGCACGGCGCTGGCACAGTGCTGGTATGGCCTTGGCACGGCCCTGGCATGGCCCTGGCCTTGTTCCCTCCCAGGACATTTAGAGCAGCTCTTCCCTCGGGCACTTTTGGGTTACAGCTCTCTAGGTTTCAGCTGCTCCCCCACACACCTCACAGGGACACTCAGGAGTTTTTGGGAAGCAGAGCTGGCTGGTGGAGCCCCCAGAGCTGCGCTGTCACTGCCCGTGTCCCACTGCAGCACTCCAGGTGTCCCTGGCACGGGTGGCACTGGCAGGAGGGCTCAGGAGGAGCTCCGTGACCCCAGCCAGGGACAGGGAAGCCCCTTGGCCACTGTCCCCAAAGTGCTGCTGCCCCTTGGCCACTGTCCCCAAAGCAGGAACTCGGCCGGGTCCTCCTGAGCTGGGGACAGCTCAGATGCGAGCAGGAGGGGAGGCTGGCAGAGCGTGGGGTGCTGTGGGTGACACGGCTGTGTGTCCCCTCAGAACGAGGTGACGCTGCTCAGGAACGAGGTGGCTCAGCTGAAGCAGCTGCTGCTGGCCCACAAGGACTGTCCTGTCACCGCCCTGCAGAAGAAGACCCAGGGATACCTGGGTGAGTGATGGCTGGGCTGGGCTGGGTCTGCTGCCAGGGAGGGAGGGGACTGTCCCCAGGCTGTGCCTGCCACCCCCTGTCATCCCCCTGTCGCTCAGGGTCACTGCACAGGACAGAGCAGGGAGTGCAGAACGCCTGGGCTGGGCACAGGACACCCCAAAAACCCCTGGGAGCCCCCAGGGCATTCCTGCTGAGGAGGATCCCCACGTTGTGCCTTTGACCTTGGGGTGGCACTTGCCGTGCGGGCAGTGCCCCGGGCAGGGGTTGTGTCCCTGTCCCTCCCCGGGGGGGTGTCTGCTGTGGCTCCAGCCCCCCCTGCTCTGGCAGCCAGCCAAGCCTGGATCATCCTTCCGAAGTGCCAAATTTGCTGCTCCACAGCAAAGGCCGAGTCAGGAGAGGCCAGACTCTCTCCATGACATCATGGAGCTCCATTGCTCATTCTCTGCCATCCCCACGAGCTGGCTCGGCTTGGGAGTTAAAAAAAAAGAAAAAGGCTCTTTTTTATCTCCTTTTCTTCCCATCATTTTTTTTTAATGCTGCCTGTTTCATTATAACCAACCCGTGAGCTAGACACGATCTGGGTCCTGCTGCCCTCCCTGCAATACCAATTCCAGGCTGCTGAGAGGCTTTGGGAGGACGCTGGAGTCCTCTAGCGTTCCTTGGAAAAATGGGAGGATGAGCTGAGAGAATGGAAACTGCAGAAACCCACGGAGAAAAAGGAAAACAAAAATCTAAAAATTTACAATTCCCTGTCCTTGGGGGCTGTGCCTTGCCCCCTGGTCTCTGGGATTCTGTCCTGCCTGGTGAGGCACAGGGGTGTGCTGGAGGGCTCTGGCACAGCCACTGTCACCCCTGGTGGCTCAGAGCCACTCGAGTGTCCTCCAGTCCCCACGTCCCAGCCCTGCAGAGGCTGGGGGCTCCCCGCTTCTCCCTGCTCATCCCCAGCTTCCCAATTCCCCTCCCTGCTCCCCACAGCAGCAGGAATTCATCTCGCATCTGAAGGCTAAAAATGAGACTGCTCCCTCCCCTCTGCCCCTTTTTATGGCCGAGATTTGTGGCCAGGCAGGTCCTGAACAAAGCCCCAGGTCCCTGATGGAATTGGGAGCTTTATTGGCAGCACCTTGTAAATCTCCAGGGGTGGGGGGCCAGGGGAGATTGCTCTGCTCGATCTCCCCAGCCAGGCCAAGGTTCTCCCAGGGAGGGGTTAAACCCCACACCTGCTTTTCATGTGGGGTTTCATGTGGCAGCAACGTCCCAGCTCCTGCCTTTGTTTGCTCTTGCAAAGGGAGGTGGGATTTCCTGCTGGCAGCTCTGGGTGCCCTCTGGGGCGATCCCCTGCCTCAGGAGCTCTGCCTCCCAAAATCCTGGAAGCCACTGAACAAAGGGAAGGAGGGCTCTGCCTTTGTCTGCCCCCGTCCCCTCGTGGTGCTGCAAATTCCCAAAAAAACGGAGCAGGCAAAGCCTTGTGATGGGTTCTGATTGATTTTAATGTCTTCGGGAGCAATAAAGAGCAAAGCAGGTGATTTAGGTAAAAAATAGCCCCAAAAGCCCAGCTCCCGGCCCTGCTGAGGGGATCCTGCTCCCCCTGGCAGCTGGGGAAGGGGCTGAGGGGAAATTAATTCCTGTTAACGAGGAAGGGATGGTGTGGGAATGAGCGGCTGGGATGAAGGTTCTGCCAGTGCTGCCCTCCTCGGGAGCTGTGCTGCCTCCTGCCTGGAATTCGGGAGGATCCAGCCTTCTCCTCGGGAGGGGCAGCAGGCCCGGCTGTGTCCAGCTCCTGCTCCTGCCCAAAGGGAGGGGGGATCCACATTCCATGGGGCTGGCGTCCCTCTGCTCCGGGCTGGAGCGTCCAGAGCGTCCCGCTGGTCCTGATCCGCTCTGGGCAGCACATTCCCAAATCCAGACCTGCACCATTCCCGAATCCAGACCAGCACCATTCCCAACCCAGACCAGCACCATTCCCGAATCCAGTCCAGCACCATTCCCGAATCCAGACCAGCACCATTCCCAACCCAGACCAGCACCATTCCCATCCCAATCCAGCACCATTCCCAAATCCAGACCAGCACCATTCCCACCCCAGTCCGGCACCAATCCTGCACCAGACCACCATCATTCCCATCCCAATCCTGCACCATTCCCATCCCAATCCTGCACCAATCCTGCACCTGTCTGGCACCAATCCTGCACCAATCCTGCACCATTCCGGCACCAATCCTGCACCAGTCCAGCACTATTCCCAACCCAGTCCTGCACCATTCCCACCCCAGTCCAGCACCATTCCCACCCCAATCCAGCACCATTCCCACCCCAATCCCGCACCATTCCCACCCCAGTCCAGCACCATTCCCACCCCAATCCAGCACCATTCCCACCCCAATCCCGCACCATTCCCACCCCAATCCAGCACCATTCCCACCCCAGTCCCGCACCATTCCCACCCCATTCCCTCCTTCCCCCGCTGCCCCAGGCCGTCCCTGACGCGGCGCTCCCTCCGTTCTCCCGCAGAGAGCCCCAAGGAGAGCTCGGAGCCCTCGGGCTCGCCCGCGCCCGTCATCCAGCACAGCTCGGGCCCGGCCGCGCCCAACGGGCTCCGCTCGGCCGCCGAGGCCGTGGCCAGCTCGGTGCTGGCGCAGATGGCCGGGCAAAGGACAGAGCTGGCCGTGCCCGCGGCCCCGCATGTCATCATGGCCCCACAGTCGCAGTCTGCCGGCAGATGATGGCCCCGGGCCGGAGCGCCCGCACGGACTGAGCCGGGCCGGGACCTTCCCTTTCCCTTTCGGGGTTTTGTTCCTTTCGTTTTGTCCTGTTCCGAGGTAAGGGCAGCTCTGGCGCTTTCCCCCCGGCGGAGCCCCCGGGCAGGGCGCGTCCCGGGGCTCCGTGCGGCGAACACTAAACTCCGGGCGAGCCCCGGGCGCTGGCCCTGGCCCCCGGGCAGGGGGCTGTGACACTCCGTGCTGTCCCCGTGCTGCTCCCAGGCTTGTCCCCGCTCCCCAAATCGTTGCACCTTCACCAGGAGCCTCCCGAAGCTCTGAGCTGACGGGGATCCAGGGCTCCTCCCTGCCCCAGCCCCAGCCGTGGATTTTGGGAAGCAGGCTTGCTCTGGGTTGTGCCCCAGCGGCTGGGACAAGGGGACAGCGCGGGGCTGGCCAGGGCTGCTCCCGCATTCCCAGGAAATGGGGCTGGGGTGCCCACCAGAGCGGGACAGCAGCGGGAGTGCCCGGAGCAGCCGCAGCCCCGGCTCCCCTGGCAAAGCCAGCCCTCAGTCCGCATCAGCTCCCGCACCTCGGTGACCTCAGTAAAGGTGGCCTTAAATCACGGATCGTTGGAGGGAGCCGGGAGCGGGGTCGGGCTTTGATGACCGAGCCGCCGTCGCTTCCCGGCCGGGGCAGACAAAGGATCGCCAGCCCTGGGCAGGGTCAGATCCCACCCTCCGTGCTGAGGAGCTGGGAGGGGTCCCTTGTCCTGCTGGGTGGGCACTGGGCTCTGTCCCCTGTGTCCCTGCATGGCTCCAGAGCTTCCCCAGGCACTGCAGCCAGAGCTGGGAATGGGAAATGGGAATGGAGAGTGGGAATGGGAATGGGGAGTGGGAATGGGAAATGGGGAATGGGAGTGGGGAATGGGAAGGGCTGCCACGTGTTTTTGGGGTGTGGAAGGAATCTTGTCCCAGTCTGTGGAACTGCTGCAGCCCCTGGAATTCCTGCCCCTCCCAAGTCCCTCCTCAGCCAAGCCCCCCCTCAGGTCGCACTCGCCACTTTGGAGCCAGGTTGGTTTGTCCAGGTGATTTTGGTTGGTTCCTCCACACTTGGAAGGTTCCCAGGGACAGCGAAACCCAAAGCCAAGGCTGAGCAGAGACTGGGATCTCAGCACTGATGGGAAAGTCCTGAGGTTTGGGTTTTCCCAGAGATGGAATCCAGCTTCTTCCCTCCCTGTTGTGCAGCTCTTCCTCAGCTGGGATTGGGATCGGGGTCGGGGTCGGGGTCGGGGTGGGTTTGTGTTGCTGCTCCCGCACTCCCCTTTGTCCTCTTGCTCATCCCAGCTCCTCTCCGTGCTCCAGCCTCGGGAATCTCTTGTTGTGGTCCCACACATCCCCCAGACCCCTTTTCCCCCTAAGAGCTGTTCCTACAGCCCAGCCCGGGGCTCCCAGCTGTTTCCAGCACTCCGTGTCCCCACGGGATGTTTCTGTGCACGGCTGGGGCGCAGGGAGGGCTCGGAGCTGTTTTGGGGGGTCCTCGGGGGGCTCCTCCCGTGGTGTGGGGGAGCCGAGGGGTCCGTCCGGGGAGGAGGAGTTGAGCTCTGGGGGCCTCGCGGGCAGAACCAGGGATGAGCAAAGGCTGGAGAATCCAGGATAGCGTTTGGCTGGAAGGCAGCAGCTTCTGCAACCCCTCGTTTTACCCTCGGGGCACTAAGAGAGGCTGCGTTTTCTGATGGAGTTTTCCTGCCTCGCTGCTCTTCCCGGGAATCCTCGTGGCCCCCTCGGGATGGGGGTGTTGGAGCAGCTTCCTCCCCACCCCCCGAAGCTCCCCATTCCCACATCCCACATCACCAGTGCCTTGAAAATTGTGCAAATCCCGGAAGAGGAAAGCTCCAGAGGTGGTCAGAGATGAGCAGGGAACGAGCAGGATCCGGCTTCGGCTGTACCTGGCTCTGCTGTTGCTTCACTCGCAGGGCTGGAGCTTCCCGTGCCCATTCCCCGTGTGTTTCGCCCCAAAAGCAGCCACTCCTCACTTTGTGACCAGTTTCGGGTAAACCCCTGCCCTGATTCTGCTCCGTGGTGATTCCTCCCGCTCTGCCGGGGGTGGCAGCCCCGGCCCCGCTCGGCAGCGCCGGGCGCCTGCACTTTGCTCTGCCAGCCCCGGTTCCGGGAGTCCCGGGGGCCGAGCCTTCCTGCTGTCCCCTGCTGTCCCCTGCTGTCCCCTGCTGTCCCCTCCTGTCCCTCCTATCCCTTCCTGTCCCCTGCTGTCCCCTGCTGTCCCCTCCTGTCCCTCCTATCCCTTCCTGTCCCCTCCTGTCCCCTTCTGTCCCCTCCTGTCCCTGCTGTCCCCTCCTGTCCCTCCTGGTCCCTCCTATCCCTCCTGTCCCCTCCTGTCCCCTCCTGCCCCCCTCCTGTCCCCTCCTGTCCCCTCCTGTCCCCTCCCTGCCGGGCCCTGCCGCCCGAGACACCGGGGGCTCCTCGCGGCTCCGCTGGGGCAGCCCGGGGAGCGGGATCTGCTCGGGGATTTGGGGTTTGTGGATTTTACCGGAATCCTTGAATAGGAACGAATGGCTGCAGACCAGGCCCCGGGAACCCCACGGGGGGAGCTGCTGCTCCCTCCCTCCTCTTCCTCCCTTTTCAGCCTCCAAATCGCCCGGATCGGTGGGGTGGGAAGGGTTGGTGCCCGTTTCCCCCCCAGGGGTGTTTTGTCCGGGATTCTTGGCTCAGGTGGGAATTGTGTCATTTTGGGGGCTCCTGGACCCGTTCCTGCTCTGTTCACCCCAGTCCCGCCCCAAAACGAGCCCGGGAGGTGCCGAAGGGACACGGGAGGAGGGTCCTGGGCGTGCCCCCCACCCCGCAGCTGCTTTGTGCCACGAGCTTTGACGATCAATAATGGAAGAAGCCAAAAAAGGACCCCCGAGTACCTGTGTAGTATCTTATCAGTCCATATCGACGCCTATACGCACCCATGTATCGTAGATCGGCCGCCGCGGGTCTGACCCGACCCCCGCAGCCCCCCAGGGACCCCCGCCCCGCCCGGGCTCCTGTGAGCGGGTCCTCACAACCCCCGCGGGGGCCCGGGGCCGGGGGGGACCCGGGGGACACGTCCCAGCCTCCCCCAGCCCTCGGCCGTGTCATACCAAACATGTAACGTGCCTTTTATTTATGCTGCAAATATAACATTAAAATATTACCCAGGAGCCGCCGGCTGCTGCCCTTTGTGGGGGGTGCGGGCTGGGGACACCCCCGGTGTCACTTTGTCCCACGGACACCCATGGGTGTCCCCGGGGCTTCACGGTATGGGTGGCGCCGGCCCGAGGGTGACACCGTCCCACCGGGAACGACGTGGGACTGTCGCCCCTCAGCGGGGGAGCTGCTTGTGGGGACACCGCAGTGTCCCAGCCCTCGGCTGCGTTTTTTGGGGCGATTTCGGCTGGTTTGGGGTCGGGAGGAGCCGCGGCCGCGCCGTCGGGGCTGCAGGAGCGCGCAGCGGCCACCGGGGGGCGGCAGCGAGACCGGGGAGGGGGCGCGGGGGT